ACCGTTGTTTGAGCATCAGGTTATTTTCATTGTATGGTTGAGGAAAACCTCTTTGTGCGACACTAGTCGACACTGCGAATGATGTACGTCACAATAAAGCACTCAGAACAGCAATTCCTTGAGAGATTTTTCTTCGCTCTTTCTCGGTATTCGCTCAGGAAAAGTGAACTGCAAATCTGTCTTCCATGCACGTGCCCCTATATCACTGAACAGGCCATTTCGAGCAAGCCGGGCATGTCCTCAAAAACCTCTTTGCTCACAGTTACAACGTAAGAGCCTCTTTTCGCCGAGTCGCGTTCCAATTGTCCTCGATCGTCTAAAAGAAAGAGAAACGTAGCCGGTATTTGAATTACCACCACCGGCCCCGTATTAGCCTTTCTTATCGAAAGAGAGAAAACACTCAATTCATGTAGTCAAAATGTTTGAAACAGTTCAAGTAGCGAATTATTCAATTCACGTCACTTTGCACCCTTATATTCTGTTATCCTCGTTCCAAGCTATCTCTTTTCCACCCTAATAAGTTTCGGTTGGGTGACCAATAACGTTCAGATTTTCTTTAAAAGTATTCTGAATTTCACCAAAGCCTTCCTAACCTCTTAGAAAATCCCCCCTCCCCATATCCCTTGGAAATATAAAAGACTCCAAGCACAGTCAACACCTGTGAAGTATGCATCGCAGAAGCTGAGAGCTTGACCGCTGTTTTGAGAGAAAATTGATAGACCAGATAAATCGATCTATTGCTTAAATATAATATACCAGACTGGTCCCCCAACAACCGCCGGTTACATCCATTCCAAGCGAAGCTTGGAGTCCCTCCTCCTAACTTTATGCTCCCCCCCCCCCCACTACTCTCCAGCTGCCACTGCACTACCTTGTAAAATGAGCGAAAAGATTGCGCTCTATCCGCCACTTTCATCAATGCAGTTGCCGTTCATTACCACTACGTGTCATCGAAGATCGACACCTCGCCATCTTGGTCGCTTTTCAGTAATAATTGCAACGAAGTTGGAGACATTCAGACGCTTATTATCGTTCCTTATAATTTTTTATCAATTTCTATCACTAATAGTCGGTGCCCTCGTCCCACCTCGCACGCAAGGTGTAGGAAGTTAGTGTTATACTGTCACCACGAAATCCACAACGAAATCTACGATATATAATTAGCCAAGTATGTCTGTCTGTGTCTGTGTGTACATCCGTCCTTCTGTCACGAAATTCCATACTGCAGGAATGGAGCGCCGTATTTTGAGTGTGATGTAGTGGGTGTGACGGGAACATATTTGGTGGGGGACAGAAAGTCATAACGACTGATAAGACCTGCGTTGGTTCCAGGAAGTGATGTACAGGGTGGGACGGGAAACATGTTCGGTTGGGAACAGAAAATGATAAGGGCCGATAAGGCCGAAGAGAGGCTAGAACGCAAATTTCACGGAAGCTCGCGTTCCAGCAACAGTTAGATGTTGCTTCCAAGAAGTGCTGTAGAGCGCGCGTCTCAGACGTTGATTTTAAAAATAGCAGGTGGAACCTAACGTTTCGCCTGTCGTCCAGATTTGCCGAGCCCTTCCGTATCATGCACGCGGTATTGTGGGGGTTTATTTAAGTGGTATAATATACCAGTTTAGCTCCGCACGCAACCGCGCGCATCACATGGTGGGCTTTAGTGAAACTGGACAACTTGCTGAATATTAGGTCACGTGGCTGAGAAACTAACAGTAAGATGTTTTGGAAGATGTGTCACATGAATTTTAAAGGTTGTCCAATTTTGCTGAAGATTGTCGCGTAATGCGCGCAGTAGCATGCGGAATGAAAATGGTACTTATCATGACTTCGTAAACATTTAGCATTGATATCGAGCTCGGGCGATTTAGCGGTTTATAGAATTTCCACAATTGAAGAATCGGTGTGTAAGTGAAATATAACCAATCAATCAGCATCAACCGAGCTACAGTGCGTTGCAAGATCATAGGACATCCCTCAAAATATGAATATCTCGGCTTCTAGAAAAAGCCGTCTATCGCAACTGGTAGAATCAGAACCGCCTCTATAAAAAACCTATACAAACAAGTAGCCAGATCTTCCGAATAGTTTTCCGTATCTTTAGACAATTTTT